ATTGTTGTTCATACTCATTCTTTACATATATATTCCTACCATTTTTAGTGCTTAATTGGTATGACTCACTATTCTTCTCATTCTTCCAAGTTGGGCAGTGCTTGTCAAAGGAGGGGTGTTCTTGCTTACAGGAAGTACACTTCAGCTTGCTAGCTTGAGTGTGAATGTTTACCTGTGTGCATTTTTGTGTATGATATGTGTGCTTTATGTGTGAGTGCATGGGCGTGTTATGTATGTGAATGTGTGTGTTTGCCATTCTAACTCTTGTTCTATTTATCTGTCCTTCTTTATCATAATTCTTTAGTCTTTATCACTTGTCTGTTTGTCTGTTCTGGGAGAAAAATGAAGGAGGCCACGAGGATGTTGAAATTCCACAAGGGGGGAATGGAGTGAAAAAGGTTGAGAACCACTGCGCTAGACACACACAAATGCACATTTGGCAATTTCAGCGTGATCTAGTAACTACATAGACTGCACTCCAAGGTCACTATGACAGTCTCCCTTTTGCATTAAAGATCCAGGATATAAAATTGACTCCATTTCTCATACATTTTCTTGTGGCTTGTGCTGATTTCTCATGTCTTGTGCTGTTGGGGAGGGTGGAGGGGTGGGAAAACATAAAGAGTGTACAGTAATGAGATTGCACCACATGGTGATAGTGTGGTGCCACCTCATGCCTCTCCCAATGTCTCTGGCCCTTCTAGAATAAGTGATAGTTTGTATGGCCCTTCAACATGCAGTCCGAGTGCCATAACTCATTATGTACAACTATCTTTTGCACCCAGAGGGAAAAAGTTAATAATCTGTATTCGGCCTGTGCGCGCTCATCATTACACAAAATTTACACAATTATTACCAAGTGAAATATTAATTTGTTCACAACTTTTCTTCTATAACTATTTTTTCCTAAATATAGTATGTATGCTTTATAATGGAATACGGTTTATATTGCAATCACATGGCATAACAAAGGTATGTATACAAATTTTCATTAAGCATAAAAAATTTTTTTTTGTTCTACTCGCACCTACGCATAGAAATAATTATTTTATTGTGATTACTCATATAGCACTGTTTGTCAAGGGTGGATCTAGGAATATCAAAAGGGGGAGGGGGTCCAGTCCAAGAAGTTGTGGGTGGGGGAACATGGCAAGCACAGCAAGCCCACCCAGGTCAGGGATTTGGGGAGGGCACTGTAAGCCCCAGCATATTTTTTTTTTTAAATTTGACCAATATCATAGGCATTTTGAAGCCATGTGCATTTGATATTGAGAGATATTCTGAGGTCAAAAGTATTTACTTTTTACTACAGTATTTAAAAATGCCTGAGTACAATACTGCATTAAACAAAGAGTATGGGAAACTTCTGATGAAAAGGGGCAGTTTGGACCCCCAGGGCCCCACACCTGCCCTTGTTTTTAAATAATTTAATTACAATACTAATGCAACAAATCTCACCTATGACTCATTATGTACAATTATCTCTCATGTGGTGCATTCAGGTGCGGTGAGGTGAGTAACAGGCCAGACCCCGATCGTCTCGCAGGTGAGAACTTACCCAAACTCAAGTGTGTTAAAATCCAGGATCCACCTATAATTTTATTGTTTGTGTACAGTGGTGCTTGCATAAATAAATACAGCTCTGTGTCTGTCCATGCAAAGTTCCGTTGTTTAGACTCCGAAAACTTTCCCCATTACCTGGAAAAATTACAGGGAAGAGAAAACTTGTCTCCATACCTGGAAATTCTCAATCTTGGAACCACTCTACAACAATTATTCCGGCTAATGTGGAGATCATTGTACTGAGCATAATATGCTATACAGTGAACCTCGAAGATCTGGACTAAAAGGGGGGACCACTTGTTCGGAAAAAAATTATTGTCCGCATCTTCTGGCAAATGTATAAAAATGATAAATGATGATATAAAAAACACAAAAAATACAGTACCGTACTTTACGGCACATAAGAAGCACGACCATATAAGATGCACTGCTATTTTAGCAGGGAGTATTTAGGAAAAACCATTTGTGTGTATTTTCCTCCTGTAGTCATAGTTTTCTTACAATAATATATACAGTATACAGTATACAGTATACAGTATACAGTATACAGTATCAGTAAATGTGAGGAATAAATAAAAATAATACCAATAAATAAATTACGACAAAAAATACTGTATTACCAAACCTGTAAATAAAAGCCAAATGAAAGTTTAACACAGCCGCCACTTGCATACACTCCCTGCTTCACCATAGCAACAATGACCAACTGGGACGCTACCTCCGCCAATTCCCTAGTGACGCTACCTACCCCATTACACTGCGCCATTCTCCCACTGAGCCAGCTAACTTGTGTGCAAGGAAATGTATATTCCCTTAATGTGTTTGCCCTTGGGACAATTATTTCCTCTCCTTTTTTCACAACACAGGTTGACAACCCTTTATCCGAAATTCCAAAAACCGAAAAGCTCTAAAAACCGAAAGTTTTTTTGTGGAGCGATTTTTTATTTATTTATTTTTTTTAAACAGGGATTAGCCCACCCGGGCATAAATCACTGACTCACATCGGGGCCTGGGGGGCAAAAATGTAATAGTAATAATAATTACAGCTGTATTCATAGTAAATAAAATTTTTAATTAAAATACTGTACAGTACACCAAAATAAAATAATAATGATAACAATAATAATAAAATATAATAATAAAATTAATAATAATAACAATAACACTGTAATAAAATAATAATAATAATAATTATAAAGAAATACAAGAATGAAAAAAAAGATCAAAAGTGAGAAATGCGACCTAGAACTATGAATTATTATTACAGTATTATTATTATTATATCCCCCCGCAGGCCCCGATGTGGGTCAGTGATCTATGCCCGGGTGGGCTTATAGGAGAGAGAGGAAAAAAAAAACACCCTAACCATTCTGAAAACCGAAATGCCTCTGGCCCCAAGGATTTCGGATAAGGGATTGTCAACCTGTATACAGTATATGTAGGATGGTGTGTGCATGTAACTGAGTAAAAATAAATGAAGAAAGTTATGTATATCTACCTGGAAATACAAGGTAGTAGGTATTAGGTAGCTACCAAACAGGGAGGTACTAACACCTGGGAAGATATTGGAAGCATAATGTGTTGTCTATGGTAGACCCTGCTGCCATATGGCATCACAAAAATTGTGACCAAATCTCAGGTTGCTGATCTGACTTTCTGCCTCGTTTACACACAATTGTAGGGTCTCAATTGTTTCACTTACTATTGACAACACAACATCCAGACATTGTTTCTCACTTTTGATCTTTTTTTTCATTTTTGTATTTCTTTATGCTTCTTTATAATTATTATTATTATTACATTTTCGCCCCCCAGGCCCTGATGTGGATCAGTGACCTGTGCCCGGATGGGCTAATCCCCGAAAAAAAAAAAAAAGTTACAATGCCGCCAGCAATGTTAACAGATGCAAATGTACTGGCATCAACATTGCAAATGCGATAAGTTTATCCTTGGCCTTACATATGTCAGACACAGTTTGTTTCTTCACGCTGTATTCATCAGACACGAGCCACGGACACACCAGACTCTATTTCTTTACAGTATTAATTCTAGTTTCTGCACAACAGATAAATGTACATACTTTCTCTTCACGCTACCACTTGCTTTAGATGCCATGAATAATCACCATTAAGCACTATTAACAGTGATAATAAAAATAAATCAAGTAAAATATGGGAGGGAGCGAGGAGATATAGTACAACAGCACACTAACCCACTCCCCTTACTTGCTCCCGTTGCCATGTGTACGATCAAAATATGGGAGAAATACTTATCTTGTAGTCTAATTTTAAAACGGTGATGGGCACAGTGATAAACAAATTATATAAACCATGCATTTACCTACGATAACATAATAAGAAACATTGTATCATTCCTAGAGTGAATGAAATAATATTCCCACAAACAACAATTGACAACTCTGTTTATGTTTCCTGCCTCGGGCACCTGTGTCCTACACAGTGACATCTTAATTACATGGGCTTAAGATGATCTTTGCTTTGTTTTGGGAATGCTTCTTAGAGAGTCTTCTTAGCCCCTGGAACCCCCAAATTTTGTCCGAATCTTCCGTAATCCGGGTTTTCTGAGTCCGGATCTTCGAGGCTTCACTGTACAGTAACACCCCGGTTAGCACTACCTTGTACAGTGCTGTTTCGTTATAGCTCTTTTGCTTGCATCTTAAAGCTTGAAGGAAAAAAAATAGTCAAAAGTCAGAAATCCGAACTCTCATAACAGGCAAAGAGAAGCTCTCATTGTTTTTACTTACTCATCCAATCAGTGCCAAGCGCTCTGTTTACAGTACAGTACAACTTTGCTGAGCTTATACTGTGACCACATTCTTACTGACCTGCCAATTATTTTATATTATGACTATTTTTTACTCATCATGTCCACAAGTTATAATGCTGCTAGTGCATGTAAAGTGCCAAGGAAAAGTATCTCCTTGGATGTAAAATTACACGTGTTGAGGCGGTTGAAAGCTGGTCAGTGTCAGGTGGATGGCAGAGCTGCTTTTAACTTTGTTACATTGACTATTAGAACCATTATTAAGAATGCAAACAATATGAAAGTTTCAGTCATGACAAGCATAAAGTTGTTATATTAAGTGTAGGTCTTATTGTATGATATAAGATTGCGTTAGGTTAACTGAGGCACAATGTGTGGCAGCAGGTTGGAGATCACTTCACATGCATACTGTATATGTACTGCTAGGGGAAACATTAAGGCCAGGTACAAGGTGCTGAGATGGGTGATCCATTACACTGGTTTTAAGTGTTTCAAATACTGTATAAGCACAGTATACTATACTGTACTGTATTATAAAGCTTAGTTTAAGTATAGCATACACCCTATACACTTATTTCTAACCTTGGCAAGTGATAACTATAATTTATATTATTTCTCATAGCTATAAAACTGAAACTAAAAAATAAACATACCTCTGATTACAGATTTTCTCTTCTTGTGGGCAACTTTATCTTCATTATTTAGCTGGTTGTGGGTTGTGGCTTGGCTGGAGGAGATATGCTCCTTGGAGAGGTTTGCTGCATGAAGGTTTTCAGTATTAAGTCTCTTGGAGGACTGGTCAACTGGGATAAGCTTTTGCCTTGCGTGTCTTGGTTGTTTCGCATCGCCAGAGTTGAGACCTTCACTGGGCGCCACTGAGTGCTGCTTAGTGAGGGTGTTATGTTGTGTGCCCCCCTGCCTGGCGACACCAATTTTGAGCTGAAGGGGGGCATGGCAGGAGGGGATACTTCCCACACAAGATGTTTCAGTTGACTCTACAGGGATGCTGACTGATTCAATCAACTTGGGTAAGGCACTACTAGCTGGTGATGGGGGATCCTCACACAAGTTGACCACCCCTGATCGTGACCCAGAACCATCAACTGCCTGAGGAAAGAGACACAAAATATGAAAGTGGGTCTTTAGGTTACAAAATTAATCATCTAAACCAAAACACCCAGAAGTTTCCATTAATTTCTACATACTGTGCAGATGTTAAACCATTATTTTCCCAAACAGTGAAAACTAACAATCTTTGTGTGAGTTTCAACGGAAGAACAATGATAAACAATAAACTGGTCTTGTGTTTTGATCTGGTTTAAGTGTCTTCAAAAATATTATAATGTGATTAATTTAATTACAAAATATTCTTCAAAGGGTAAAGCAAACAATTTGAAAGGTTGTTGTCATTACCTAGAACTATAGTAAAGTACTGTACAGTGTATGCATCTAGTACAGGGTACAGGCATTTGAAAAAGTAATACAAACAATCTGTTTTTTTTATTGTACTGTACTTGGTATTTGGTTCAAATTATTTGCATTACATGGGCTGATCAGTTAAGAAAACACATCATAAGAAAAGGGTGGTAAAAGCATGCATTATGCAGTAAAAGAGCAGATCAGATGTGCAGAAAGAGAAAGATGTAAAGAAAAATGTGAAAGACTCGAGTCATCGTCTATGTGGCCCGAAACAACCGAAGCTGCTAATACTAAACACTTCCACCTCTTGTCAGCGTCGAGGGAAGCCAGTCTTGGTCCCCTACTTGAAAATCTTGGTCCTTTGGCTCCTTTGTCCATCATCTATTCTTGTGTTTTTTCTTCATGCTTCACAAAGATGCTATCATTTTGCCGGATGATGTTGTCAAGACTTGTGACTTGGCTGTCTTGCCACGTGCCAGGAAAAATGTAAAGTTTGGGGTATGGCCACCTTCTCTTGAATTCATTTTGAGTAAATCACAGAGATTTTTAAGACATAAATACCGGCTATTAAATACATTATTCTGATTCATTAAGAATTTCATTAAGGAGGAAAATAAACCCAACTTTTATATTCCTCATTGGCTGGTAATGACTTAACTTTTGAATAAATGAAACCAATGGAAAACCCAGGCCAAGGCTATGAGATCATGCAAACAAGCTACACCAGGTCACTGAACACAAGCCTGACACTTGCTCACTTACTGCTACTATGTCTTACCATTATAACTAGTTATAAAAGATACCCAAAATTCAGTCAGGTATGAAGTTGTCTAGTAAACAATAGCAAGCAACAATAAATGACCAATGATGAATGATCTATGGACAGCAGTGCTGTGGGAGTGTGAAATTGAGAACCTGAAAATAAAATAAGTAGTGATTGTTACATGAGCTGAAGACAATGTGCTGGACAGAATCTTATATTAAGACCAATTAATATTGATATGAAGTGCATGTTCATAACATCAAACTCCACATTTTATTCAAGATTCTGAAACATTCTTCAAATTACAGTATGTTGTAGCAGCACTGTTCACAAATTTCATCATTTTTCTACTGTATTATGCTGTCTTACAGGATTTTATAATTAAATATTTATATTATCAAGAGTGTGATGCTTCTGCTTTATTGCTGATATTTCAGCTTCCACAAATATTTTAAAGTAAAGAAAAACTTCATCTGTGAAACAGCATTACTTGAAGTCAGTGAGCAGGTGGAGCTGTGGCAAGAGCTGATGGGTTATGAGAGTAGGTGGCCGCCCACACAAACCAAGACACACGTACCGCAGTGGAAGAGCCCAATACTGGGCCTTGAGATCCCCTAGGGCTGTCCCCACCTCCTGGCTGGGACAAGACCCCTGGGGGAGTCCCTGGATGAAAGCCTGGGCTAGATGAGCCGGGCTCCACCAACGGGGGCTGAGAGCCCATGGTGGGCCCCTGGCTAGGCTTGGTTGTAGTGCCCTGTTGGAAATCTGGCGGCGGAGGACGCTGTATCCAGTTGTACTGTCTCTTCTCCACTGGCACTCCCCATCTCTCCAACTCTATGTACTGTACATGTGAGACAAGTTACACCACATTTCATCAATATCAGGTATTGGAAGAACCTGCAACATCAAAGCCCATGTGTTATCAGAAGATGCCATTACCTGACCTCAGCAAACCCCGCAGCAAACAGCAACTTGACGAGGAGACTGAAAATATGGCCAAGATATGTCATGTATGTCATTAATGTTAAAAAGAAGAATGAAGATTGGGATAAGGAGAGTCACACAGCCAGATGTGGGTGACTTGGGAAAACACGTCCGGGCACAGGTGGTGAAGAGGGGAAGGAGGCTCACCTGGTTCTTGAGAGAGGAGTAGCAGTCCTTACAAACCACCACTGAGTGGCCATTATCTACCACCATGCCACCTGATGGTCGATTGTGATCTTTCAGGAATGGATAATCCTGGGGAAGAAAATGTAATGGATAGTAAACATCCAAAATATAATACAAAATAACCGTACACAACAATAATAATAATATGTAAAACTAACCATATCATATACAGGTACACATTAATATTACAGGTTGTACCTCTCTAGTCCGGCATTCTGTGGTCCGGAAACTCTCGTGGCCCGGAACGATTTTAGTTTGCCCATGGAGAAAATTAATTTGAGTCTGGTACTTTCGACATTTGGCTAAATTTTGTCTTATTTACCCTCCTTTTTTGGCGAATTACTACCTGTAATAAAGCAACATCCTAATAAACCAACGAAAATAACACAGTTAAAGTTAAATAAAAACAACACAGAAAAAGTTTTCATGTTCTACAGCTTCAGCTAGAGTTGAACCTGATGACTTGGCAACTTTGTCATCCCAGTAAAAACACAAAACAACAACATTGGCTGTCCTTATGTTTTCAGCTTTACTACCACTGGTGAGTAGAATTTTTGTTTTAAATTCAGAAACAATAATTAAAGTATATATGAACAGTAAATAAGTATTGCTTTTATATTCTTTTGTAGAGTAAAGACGATATGTCTTCACATGTGCGCACTTACATACGCGATCTCACTTTTTTTCCTTTACCATTAATGGTTAGCTACTTTTATTGTTCCATTTATTAACATTAAATAACATTACTTAAAACAACCATATGAATTTTTTTTTTACAGTAATTTTACTACAGCTACAACCAGGGTCTTATTTTCTTCAGTTTTATATGTAGAACCAGTCAGTCACTGGTTTTGTAAACATTAACGAAAACAATGCCGTCTCGTTTCCTCGTGTGTTTTAATATTCTACGAATTATTAATGAACTGTATTGTTCATTTTGCACACATAAACATTAATTCAATCAAAAAGACATTCAGTAATAAACAATAATGAATCATTTGTACATAAGAGAAATGATGTTGTTTACACGATTGTGCACGTCTGAACGTTGGCGGGTCGCTCAAACCCGTCGAAATTCGAGTTTCCGCCGTCGAAATTTTAAATTGTGTAGTGTTTTTTTTGTGTAAAAAAAAACGTTGAATTAAAAACTCGCGAAATTTGAGAACCTACTGTACAACATTTAACCCTTCAATATATCTTCAAAGAGACCATGAAGCAAAGAAAGTGGTGCTAGTGCTTCCAAGCATAAGCACAAGTCACTATCTACCTAGGAAAAGGGTGAATTTCCCTGGTCCGGAAATTTCCATGGTCCGGCACCGGTCAGGTCCCGAGGTTGCAGGACTAGAGAGGTACAACCTGTAACAGAATAACCATAATTTCATATATAGGTACTGCATATTAATAACAAAGACAATGAATAACAATAAATAATAATAAATAACAATAAATATAATGATAATAAATTAATAACAGTACGGTAATTAAAATAATAATAATATAATACAATAATAATAATTTTGTAATAATGCAGCAATTATAAAATAACAACTGTTTTTATTTTTCAAAAGCAGCAATTCTTTTAATGAGGAACAAATTCTTGCAGATATCAAATGAAAATAGGACCTGGGATTGGGTGTGTATTGTATGTTGACAAGAAAATGAAGTTTTTGAACCATTGTGATTTGTGAGAAGGTGAATCAAGTTACGAAGATAGTGGGTCATATACGGTAATATTGTTCAGATACCCAGAGGGTTTGTCCCACGTAATGCTCTTCAAAAGTGAGGTGCTTTCCCGTTTGAAGTACCGTCTGGTCCCAAGATATGCTAGAGACTGTTAACTGATTGAATACAGTGGGGTATGCTATAACGAATCTAATTGGTTCTAGAACCTTGTTCGTTATAGCATTCGTTCGTTATAGGATTAATCCGTTCCAGGCCCCCAAATACAACCACTTAACACTGAAAAATATAATATAAAATTTTAAAAATTGTAAAAAAGTGCATACATATGCATCTAAACCCCTGAAATAAAGAATATCATCAATACTTGTAATAAAAAAGCAATAAATTAGTAAAAAAAAATATATATATTTTTTTTAATGTTCGTTGTAGGAGTTTTGTTCGTTATAGCATTCTCAATTTTATAGCTAAAACCGTTCGTTATAGGAATATTCGTAGTAGGATCCGTTCGTTATAGCATACCCCACTGTACTGTATGTCCAAAGGAGGGCCACCAGACTGGTGCCTGCTCTATGGCACCTCAGTTACCCAGAGATTAGAATACTTATAGGTGGGCATGGGGCGACTAATAGAACACCAAAGAGGACACAACTGTACTCAGTCGAGTATCCATTTCTGGAGCAGGCAGATACCCGCCCCACTAGAAGTCACAGAGTAAGGCTAAAAAACCCACAAGTTAAAAAAATTGTCAGGGCAAATTTTTTCGGGGTGAGGGATGTGTACTCTTGGAGCAATCTGCCAGAGAGAGTTGTGACAGCACCGAGTGTGAAATCATTTAAGACAAGACTTGACCAACACTGGTGTTATATATGTGTATGTTTATATGCTGCCTTTATTGATTATATATACATTATGTTACTTCTTACCAAAGTTAGAATGTGTTTAGGCCTGTGTAATCATGAATGTGTTAGGCACGTGGTATGACAACAACAACAATAAACCACCTGAGTAAGAGTCAGCATGTGGCTTCTCATTCTCCCATTAAATCATGTAAGATACTACAACTGGCACAGGTACATATACATCTAATAATAAATAATAATAATGAACAGTTTATTGAAAGAGCTTGGCAGCCAGAAGGCTGAAAATATACAGTTATATATTTGGGGAATGGGTTTCGAATTACAAATAATATACAAGTAACATAAGTGATACAAATAAGATATATAATGGCTAGATGGGGAAAAGCTCAAACTACAGGGCATTTCAACATCGTGACAGTGCAAGGAGTAGTGTTTACTGGGAGTGAATACACTAGTTTATTACAAGTTATTGATAATTTTTACAATCTTGGAACCAGTACATGCTCAGTAATCCAGTATTTGCCAACAGTGCATAACAGAGACCTAACAAGCTACCCAAGTGGCTAACAAGGCAATCAATGGCAAATAGGAGAAAGTAAAGTAAATTCTCTTGCCCCAAACATTTAAATGATCAAAGAAGCAGAGGCTTGCTTCCTTTGTAAATTAATTTAATGCCTTTTCTCTTGCTTTTCCATTTGATCTAAAATCCACTCATGTACTAAACATGTAGGTCAGACTGGGAAAGCATTGCAACTTAGACTAAAACAGCATAAGTATAATATTAGAACAACATCAGAAAGCAGTGCACTTTTCGTTCATATATGGAACAATAATCATCCCACAGATTGGAAAAACAGCTTAGAAGTGTTTAAAACATCACGTGTCACAGAACTTCTGGTTGAAGCTAGTTTGATTAGGGAAATGAATTCCATAAACCTTAGTGATGGTCAGTACAAAACTGATAAAATGTTACATAAATTTATTTGTCAATGGCCCAAGGTTAAAAATGCTTTGAAAGCATTTGAGGTAGATGTAGGATAGATGATTAGTGGGTCCCATATTTTTTACCCAACTTAACATGACTAGTTACGTCGCCCATTTTTATAAGCTCCTCCTATGTTTGGGGTGGTGGTGGTGGTGTGTGGATTAGTGGATCTCATGTTATGGACCTGACCTCATGTTTTGTATGGTCACCCTGTGTATATAAGTCATAGTAAATTAAATTGACAATAAAATAAAAACAAAAATGAAAATAAAATAATAATAAAGAACCACAAAGAAATACAAAAATGCAAAAAAAGATAAAAAGTGAGAAACAATATACAGTATTGTATGTATGTTGTGTTGTCAATAGTAAGAGAAACAATTGAGACCTGCAATTGTGTGTAAATGAGGCAGAAAGTCAGATCAGCAACCTGGGACTTGGTCACAATTTTTGTGATGCCATATGGCAGCAGGGTCTACCATTAGACAACACATTATGCTTCCAATATCTTCCCAGGCAGTAGTACCTCCCTGTTTGGTAGCTGCCCGAGAAATATGGATAGCCAGGAACGGAGCATACCTCTGTCCTTTAAACAGTGCAGTGCTCTTGTTTGCCTTATTCAAGAGAAGGGCAAAGTCATACAAGAAAAATTACGTATTCATTCATCCTGAAATATGGCCTACCCTTTTAGCGAGTGGCTACTTAGCCGAGAATGGACGAGTTGTAGGTTCTGGGCAAACACAAGAAATACACTCTGCCACGTTCTTAGAGTGATACGGTATTATATAATTTGTAATAAAAGTTTAAAGTCTTGCTATAGTAGTAGAGATAAGTTTATTTCTCTCGAAACAGGGCCGCCATTTGCAATGACGGCACCACCTACCCCGCAGACGACACAAACTCACCGCTGCAGTCGAAGCCTAACAAAGGGTGGCCTCTTCAGACCCCAAATGCCACTTCAGGTAAGTTTTAGGGGTGTTTTTTTTATGATCTAAGTCATGGACATTTCATAAGTGAAGAAATGTGCCATGTAGAGCAGGATCTAACAGGTTGGATGAGCGATAGAGGTTGGGTGTAAGTGGGACTGCCCAGTATGGGCCAATAGGCCCGCTGCAGTTACTTCCAGTCTTATGTTCTTATGGACATAAAAACCCCAATCTTCACACCAGCTCAGCTGTCATGTATTCTTACCTGGTAGACGTTCTCTTTTTTTTCCAGTACTTTTTTTTTACAGGATTAGCTCACCTGGGCACAGGTCACTGACCCACATCGGGGCCTGGGGGGCAAAAATGTAATAATAATAATAATAATAATAATAATTAGTTCAGAGTACAGTCAACCCTCACTTTACGCGGTCCAGCATTCCGCGTTTCCACGTTAACGCGGTGCCTTGCCAGAACCTAACGTGCTCACATTACGCAGTGCGTGAACCCCATTACGCGGAGAGTGTCCGGCGCGACGCTATTTTTAGATTCGCCCCACCCGCCTGCCTGCCTGTGCTCCTCGCCTCTCCCTCCTCCTCCCTCTGCTTGGGCAAGCCG